TGCAAGGCTCTCAAGGCCTTCATGCTTGTCACTTTTACCTGTAATTAAAAATAACCTGAGAACCTCTGCTGTTCACAGAAACAGGCTGTGAGAACCTGCTCCTCACAGTTGCTTTCTAAGCCATCTCTGAAAAAATCTCCAGCACTTTCCTATTTGAAAGTGTCCCAAATTATATTATGTCACTTACTATGTATTTCGTAATCCACTGTAAATTTCCATATATACTCCTCTACCTACAATTTTCTACTGTAAGCTTTAAATTTGTGAGTTCATTAGCCATATCTTTGGGTCAATGTGAGTCTCAATGTGAGTGTGTATTTGTGGCCATTTATGTGTATATGCATAGACATATACATATATACAAACATAAGTATATGCATACATACATGTATATATGTAGTGTGCATATATGGTCTTTGTGTTTGGAGTTTTTGAGAATACACTTTCAGCCTTGCTACAAGACCTTGGTGCATGGACCATCAGCTGACATGCTTCTCTTGAGCTCTTGTAAATGACAGGATATATTTCTCACTAACAAAGAGGAGGAAATGTATTGATGCTCAGTGATACTCACTCAAAAATAAACAAACAAATAAAATTAAAGGTCTACAAAGTAGAGGGGAGGGGTTTAATCATCAAGTTAAAAACACCTAAGTAGAAATACTGCAAGAACTCTTAAATAAATAAAAAAGTTTCTTAGGAAATTGTTCATTCCCCTGCAAAGCATTCAAAATATGGATAGCAAAAAAGTTTCTTAGGAAAGTGTTCATTCCCCTGCAAAGCATTCAAAATATGGATCGCAAAATAAGGTTGTATGATTTCAGGTCCAAATTTAAGAAACAATAAATCAACTTGGAACAAAAACAAAAACCTGTCTGATTTTTTTTTGTTCCTTCCTTTCAAACATCTAGAATATCATTACCAAAACATCAACCAGTTTGTAGAAAGTAGCTCTCAGATAAACTTTGATGTGCTTTTAAACATATTGTTTAAGGATGCAGAGCTACAGCTGAGTTTCAGTAGTTGGCTAAATTGTTACATTTTCAATCTCAATCAAATTCAGCAATGGCACCTGCAAAATACAACAGTTGAAGATCTTGATGTGCAAAACTGAGTGCAATGTACAATTTTAGTGTAACTTGAAACTTCAGAAAAATATAATCTTCTTTTTAAACATATTCTCATATGGAAAATAGATATTTTTGAAAAAATAACTGAGTTCTTCAGAAAAGCAAAAGCAATCATTCTGTTCAGAGAAAGTTGTTTTCTGTCATTAAACACCTAAATGATGAATTAGACACAAAAAAAAGATTCACAGGAAGTCAGAAACTGTGAGCCAGTAAAGATACCATAATTTTAATAATTCACAGATAATTTTAAAAAGTGGTAATAGTCAACTTAAAGGGAAACCAAAACACTCAGTTACGAGGAAAACAACAAGTCACAAGAGGGAGAGTGACTTAGTCTAAAAGATATATTATTTATGTCATTTCACATGAAACATATTTGAGTTATTTGAAACGGATTTCAAACAGAGACAGCCAAGAAAATTTGTGACTGTTTTTTAGAGATTGGAAACACAAACTACAATAGGAATATGCAGATTCAATCAATCAAAATCAGGCAGAAGGCAGAAGAAATATTTATTTTTGTGCATATGCATTTAAGGGCAAATCCTTTTATAGAACAGATTCTTTAAATTAGATAAACTTGACATTAAAAAAATATGCTTAGCAGGATTAGCATAATTACAGTGCAAGAAATTTCAACTTTGAAAAAGTGATTATTGTCAAGAAGGTTGATGAAATGTTGAAATGAATATGTCTGTAAGGTAGTGGATATATCACCTAACAGAGATAATTTCTGGTGAAAATTATTGCTCTTCTAAACTATCATGTGACTGAGCTACTAAGAAGATCTCTATTCTGAATGTGCTATGGTGTTAATCCCAAGTGAATGAATCAATGGATTAAGACCACTCCCTTCATCTGTACATACTAACAACTTGTGCTGTGTAATAAGAACTGCATGTCTTCTGGTGTAAATTTATCTATTTGGTAATATTTCATCTTCTCAAAGAATAATTTGGCTTCTCAGCTATATTTTTGTTTTTCTGGGCATAACATCATGATAATAAAGTGAACTGACAGCTATTGTCTGAAAGAGTTCAGAAAACCCTGTAATGCTTCAGGCCAATGATTTTTGCTCATGCGTTCAGAGGAACTGAAGTTAGAAAGGAAGTCTCCTAGTGCTTAGAGTTAAAATTACACATGGAAAGTAAAAATGCATAAATCGGTGATACTTTGTTGCTTTATCTGTCAATTATTTTCAATGAGCTATTTTTCTGTATTATTTTCTGTAGCTATTTTTCTTGACCCCATGCATAACAGGGGACGTAAGTGCTGTGTGGATTTATCAGAACTAGCAATTTCATGGCAATTCAAAGCAATCCCAATCTTTTATTCCTGCACCAACTTAAAAAAACCAAAAAAACCCCGGATAGACAGGCAGACAGACCAATGAAGAAAAAAAGAACAGAAATTGCAGTACCTATCTTAATTACTGAAGCATAGACGCATGGATTCATTTAGGTTGAAAAAGACCTTTGCAATCACCAAGTCCAGCTGTTAATCTAACACTGCCAAGTCCACCAATAAACCATATTCATCTACACTTCTTTTAAATACTTCAATCATGTCCCTGGGCAGCTCATTCCAAAGCTTGATAACCCTTTTCATGAAGAAATCCTTCCTAATATGCAATCTATACTTCCCCTGATGCAACTTGAGGTCAGTTCCTCTTGTCCTGTTGCCTCATGTCTGGGAGTCACTGCATTTTCCTTTCAGGCAGTTGTAGAGAGGGATAAGGTCTCTCCTGAAACTCCTTTTCTCCAGGCCAAACAACCCCATCTCCCTCAGCCACTCCTCGTAACACTTATGCTCCAGACACTTTCCCAGTCTGTTGACCTTCTCTGAACACACTCCAATACCTCAGCGTCTTTCTTGTACTGAGGGGCCCAGAACTGGACACCGGACTTGAGGTGTGGCCTCTCCAGTGCCACCAAGTACTGGGGAATGATCACTGCCCTGGTCCTGCTGGCCACAGTATTGCTAATGATACAGGCCAGGATGCCACAGACCTATTGGCCTCCTGAACACAAGTCGGCTCACATTCATCTGCTGCTAACCAGCACCCCCAGACTGTAGTGCTGCATGGGATTGTTGTGACCCAATGTACCAAGCATCTGGTACATTGCCTTGCTGACCCTCATTCAATTGGCCTTGGCTGATTGACCTGGCCTGTTCAGATTCCTCTGTAGAGCCTACCTATCTTCCAACAGATCAACACTCCTGCCCAGCTTGGCATTGTCTGCAAACTGACTGTGAGGCATTCAAATAATACTTTTTACCAGTTTGTTGAAAAAGATTTTAAAAAGGACTAGTTCCAATACTGAGCTCTGGGGAACACAATTTGTGACTGGTTGGTCATTGTTGTCAAGAAAATAATTGTAACAGTATTAATAATCACATGGTATTAAAAAAAAAAAAGTAAAAATAGCACTACTTGTTTAACACAACTGATTTTGATGAAGCGTTTCTGTGGTGCTGATATAGAGATTGTATATGGTTATGAAACTGAACTAAAAATGTTTCAGTTATACTGCCTGGCACTGTATCATAGTCAATGTATACAAATGCAACTGTAATGTTCCACTTACACCTTCCATTATTATTATTAATAGATCTGATGTGTGAACTAGAAATAGATTGAATATTTTCAGTCCCATTGGTATTTTCAATACCGTATTTTCTTTTCAGAATAATATATAAATACAACAGTTTTGCTGAATAAAATTCCCATACTAATTTGCAACTATTGTGTTTATAGCAACTTTTCATAACCCATGACTATAACTCTTACATTTATAATGAATAACAATACATATGTGTATAAGGAATAACATCAAATATTGTCCCTATATAGCCTTTGGATTTTTTGGATAGACATAGCTTCAGACAGTAAAACTAATATTTATGATACCCAATTCCCACTGATAAATTACATTGTACCAGTACTAACTCTTCTGAAAAGACAAAAAAACAATTATTTTAAAGAGATATTATGTTGTCATTTTTGCTATTCCAATCCTTAGTTTCCATCCTGACAAGAAGTCACAGCTTTTCTTTCAAAAGTGTATAATGCAAAGTTATAAATTATAAACCATTCTGAATTTCATATCTTAATATTTAATTCTTTTCCATAATCATCTCAGAATGTTATCCGAAAGAAAAAATTGAGGAATCTACTTATAACCACCTTTTCTGAGCTCTAACAGAGGGGAAAAAATAGCAATTTAAACACAGAAGCTGATTCATTGATCTGAAGGCCAGCACAATGATTTTGATTTGTATTTCTCTCAAGACATTATTATCATATCAAAAAAAGTTATTGCCATAACTTATACCTTCCATCTCAGTTGGACTTTATCTTTTTAGAAGCACATCAGGTTTGGGTTTTTCTAACTAGTAAAAAAAACTCTACCACTTCCTCAGTCAAATTATTTCAACTGATAATTACTTCACTGAGCAAAGCAGCATATTGTTTTGGATCTCAATTGGTCAATATATTCATTATATCTCTTTCACCAACACCAGAAGTTTTTATTTAATTTAGATGGTTTTACTCTGTGATAAGAGCAGCTCTTAAAATTATCTTTTTCTTTTGGCTTATCTTTTTTGACCATAAGTACTTGGTGTAAATTTTCAATCCTTTTCAATTTGCCATCAGTCACCCAGATTTTTCATTGTCCCATTAAAACAAATACCAGTATAGCAAAATTTAATAAAGCTTATCTGTTTATTAAAACTAGATCAAATATTATGTCAGAAATCAGGAGTAAATATGAAAATAATGTTTCTGTTGCACAGTTTAGGAAAAGTAGAAACATAGAAATAGTCTTATTTAATCTTCTCAAAGATCTTAACAATCCTTACCATCATCTCAAGTTCATTCCTTCTGCATTGCACCTAGTCCGACTGCTACAATAGCTGCTGTTGTAAAGCAATATGCAGTACAACCATTTGCACTGGTAGCCCTGAAAAAAAAAGAAGCAAAATTTTACTCAAGTGAGCAGACACTATTATTCAGAGTAGGCATGCTATACTCAATTATTTTTAGCCTTAAAGCAGAGAAACAATGAAGACAGATCTAGCAGATATCTCATTGTATGATGGATAAAGTGAAAAGCAACTCCAAAGAACAGAAGCACAAAAATTTCATGTTAACAAAGGGAAATCCCAGTTCAACTTGGGAGAGACAGAGATTAAAAAGTGAAAAACAATAAGGTAATATTATTTATTGGATGATTATTATTCATGAAGCATCTTGGTTTTCAGTTTGACAGGATGTGATATCCCGTCTTCAGGGGGACTCCCCCTTAAACATGGGTTGTCACACAGGATATGGCTTCATCTGCCTTATCTAATTGTTCAACAAAGAGGCCAGTATTCATAAAATGAACAGAAAATAAAGCTGTGAAAGATAAAATCTATTATTATGCTAGAGTTTAAAAAGTAATATAAACATTCCTCTTCAGGGAAACATTGTCCAGTGATGAAGCTATCAGCCAGGCACACAAAGTATATCTGTAGGCATGAAATACAAGTATGTGACCTGGACAATGTGAGCTACACTGGGATACCGGGAATTGTCTAGCTCCAAAAAATACCTTTCAGTGACTTAGTTTGGTCTAGATAAGAAATAGCAGGTTTCATGCTTTAAACTTTATATCTGGGAATCTCAATGAAAACATTTTTAAGTATAGGCAATTGAGAATACACATTATGAGAAGACAAAAGAGTTGGCTGCACTCCAAGCTTTTCATTTGGGCTAGAGACTGTGCTAAATACACACTATTTGATTCAGAAGAACACTAGATTCTAGAACACTTAAGAAGCCCAGAACAAAAATGACAAATACAATTCCCCTGCTGCTCTTCTTACCCATGTATAAGTATATTGTTTTGTGACTGGAATCCTCCTCCTGAGTTCTGTCTCAGATGACTTTCATAAGAATTAAGACAAACATGCCAGCGACTGTCAGCTAAAAACATACAAGTCCAGGTCTCTGGCTTACTTAAGCATCCATATCTTCCTTCTAACAAGGAACAGTTCCCATATGTTTGAAAATGGCAGCTCAGTGTAAATGGGTAACAATGAGAAAGTCTTATCAAATAACTAGCAAAACAAAGAATGTAACTGCCTCTCTTTGCTACACAAAGGCCACTGAATACCAGACTGAGTTATTTTCCTAACCTACTACTTGTGAAATCCCTACCAAACTGCCTCTGAATAAACAAGAAATACATTCATGCCACCTCAATACAGACCTAAATTGCTGTGTCCCTCTGTTTGGCTTGCAGATATAGTAGCCAATGAAATGGAAAAAACAAAAACAACAAAACCTGACAGACAAAACAAGAGAGGAATAAAAAAGAATGGGAAAAAAACCACCAAACACTTTTTTTTAGCATGGAAAAACTGCATTTCTGAGAACACTCTTCTAGCTTGTTTAATAATCCTCAATCTTTTGACACTGTCACTAATGCCTTTTTTTGAAATGCACCAAGAAAACAATATGTTAAGTATCACCTGTTTGGTACCATTTATTTTTGTGGCCTGAAATATGCTCCATAGCATTTTAATTTTTTAATTCAAATAAATTATTTCAGATTAAAGTACATTAAAAATTGATTCAAACCACAATTATAGCACTTTTCCCAGTACCACATTATTTGTGATGCTTTGGCATTTGATGAGGCTTCTCTTATACCAAACAATTAATTGCTAACTTGTTATCCATGAGGAAACATCTCAGAGATACAATTTTTCTTTGATTATCCCACAAATTAAAACATGTGGACTTCCTGAATATTGCTGGCTTTCAATATATCCTTCAGTAATTAGTTAAAATACCACATAGAACCAAAAATCCTACACCGACTTTGTTAATTCAATCAATTCAATCTTTGTGTGTTTATGGAAACAATTAAAAATAAATTGTGTATGATATGCCCATGGATTTAAAGCTAAACTAAACTTTCTGCTGTCATTTTCTGATAGGATATAGTTACTTCAATGCTGTTCTGTGACTGTGACAAGGGTTTTCAGGATGAGAGAGAGACGAGAATGTTGATTCCATGATCAGAAGGCTTGTTTTATTATTTTATTACATATATATTACATTATGACTATATTAAAAAGAAATAGAAGGAAAGTTCTCAGAAGGCTGGCTAAGCTAAGAATAGAGAAGAAAGATAACAAAGGCAGCTGGCTGAGACTGAGAGCGAGAGCCAGCTCCGCCGTGAGTGGTCAGTAAATCCAAACATCCACAGGAGACCAAACACGCATCCACCTGTTGCATTCCACAGCAGCAGATAACCATTGTTTACACTTTGCTGCTAAAACTTCTCAGCTTCAGCAGGAAAGATCCTAACAAAAGGATTTTAATGAAAATATGTTTGCAATACTGTTCCACTAAGTTATAGTGGAAAACAGACCATAAAAAATAGATCAATTTGAAAATTGCATGAGTTTTACATGAAAATAAAGTTCCCTTTATCTTTGCAGATAGTAAGGTGAAAGAGGTCTACTTGAAATCTTGCAGAACATATGACTGAGTTTTTACTTGAATCATATAGCTGAGCCTTGAATATAGGAAGATCAATCTTATCTGCTCAGCTACATTCTTTGCAGTCAAAGCCATACCCTAACATCTAAATTCCTACCTACTTCAAATTACTTCAATATTCTTTTGCAGATTGACTAGGTATTTTCAGGCAGTAAAGTGCAAAAACCTATCCTTGAGATGTAAAACAAGGAAAGAAGAAAAAGAATGTAAAAATCTTTTATAGAATAATATTAGCATCTTAGAAATTCAGTGGGGCAGCAGTTTATTCTTTGGTCAGATACTCGTACTGCAGACGAGCCATTTACGTATTACATATTTTCTAAAGAGCAGAAGCTTGTTCCCTTTCTTTTTATTTGGCTTGGGATTAGGTTTGGTTGTGGTTCTGATTTTGATTTTGATTTTGGGGGATTTGGTTTTTGGGTTTTTTGGGTTAGGCTTTTTTTTGGTTTTTTTTTTTTTAAGTATAGGATTGTAGAGATTTGGAAAAGTTGACTGTAAAACATTTAGTAGCTTGAAGTACAATTGTGCCTAGAAAATTTTATTCCAGAGACAGAAACTTAAGGAACATATATTTTCAAACTTTGAGCTTTTCTCCAAGCAAATAGATCCACTCCCTTTGAAGATTATTTCTATGAATAAATGTCAAAGAATTAAGCTCTGACTACTTCAATATACATATATGCTTACAGTGCAAAATCAAATCCTAAAAATCTGGAAAGCATATGTATACTTTACAGGCACTGATAAAGTTATTTATTCTTTCTGTATCACAAAACTCACAATTTTTTTCTCATATCTTGCAACATTCTGTAATATATTCCCTAATTGGAAACTGCCCCTAAATGAATTTTCACATTATCTGAAGAAATTCTCAGTGATTGTTCCTAATTCAGAAATTCCAAAGTACTGACAGATCATTATTTTTTAAAGAATTTTGAAGGTCAGAAATATGTAAACAAACTTAAAACATTTAATTAACTTAAAATATTTCTTATTCCTGCTATTCGTACAATTCATTAATGCATTATACTATGCAGTAATGTAATTTGTAATGCAAATATACCACATATACATTAATATAATGTAATGTAAAGTAAATATACTTTGCCTAGGTCACCATCCTCAAACTCATTAAAGTTTTTCTAAAATCCTGTGATGCTCACGATTTCTGGCAGTACTGCATGTGGAAAGATGCAAGCATGGGATACACGTCAGATTTAACTAACCTATGTTAAATATGATATAAAGCGCACATATAACAATATAACAAAGTGTAAGAATTACAGTAAAGATGTCTTGTTAGATATAACTTACCCGATGTGAGAAATGACACTCACTTTTAAAATTTCAAAGGTTTATTAGACCTTAACAAAATACAACAAAAGACTGAATAAGGAAAAATTACAGCACTGGGAACATGGAACTAAACCATCATGTGCTCCTCTACAAAATTGCTGCTCCACCTTTTATACCTTTGGTGTTGCATAAGGTATCCCTAGCTCCTTCTAAAGTCTGTCAGTCAACTCTTCATCACTGTCCATTGGTGGAGACTGCTCTCTTGCAACTTGATTGGAGGTTAGGTGTTGTCATGCTGTGCCTCCTAGTAACAAGCCTGCCCTCCTCCCTAATGCCTCATGCAAGGAGCACAAGTACACGCCCGCCCTCCACATGTCCTGACTACCAAGACCCTGCCATGAGAATCATAGAGAGGGAAAGGGGACTATGGAGAGAACAGAGCACGTCCAAACAAATCAGAATAACTTGACTATATATTGACAAAATTTCTCTTAACATACACATAGTATTCTTCTCTTAATTGTGAGAGCCAACCATCGCATGTTACCATGGGTAACGTCCATAACTGTTGAATTATTATCACACATCACACAGCTATTACTTCATATTCTGGGATGTCTGAGACAATTACATAAAAACAACCATGGGCTAACCTACATCTACAATCTTAAAAAAATGTTCATATACCTTTATTTCTCTCAAACTTTTCACAGAAGGAAATAAAAACCCAAGATAGTTTCACATCAATTTGCTAACACTGATTCTTGAACTCATCTATGTTTCACAGACAAAAATCAGAGCTTCCTGCAATGTAGTCAATAAAGGTCAGCGTGAGGACCCAGTTTGATTTGTCACAACACTGGTTGTGACAAAGAGGCCTGTGAGGGAGAGGCTGCACACGTGCCAATTGCAGAAGGCAACTAGAAGATGGACTAAAGCCTTGTCTCTGGGGAGACTTTGCCTGACAATCATTTCATATCTCACATGGAACAGGCCTCAGCAGGGGAGCACCAAAAGCGCTGTATCCTCCAGAGAGGCTTCTCCAATGAGATGGTGAAAGGTCTCCACCAATGGACTCCAGTGGAATGTTGGACTGGGCCAACAGTCTCCTGTCAGGAAGCAGACTTTAGGAAGAGCCAGGGGACATAAAAATTAACTGCATCACAAGCTCTTAGGGCATTTTGAGACTTGGGTTTTTTGGGCTTTGTAACATGGGCTTTTGTGTGTCTTGTCTTTTGGGCCTTTTGGGTCTGGGGGCCTTTTGGGTCTTGTGTTTTTGTTCCAGCATGCTTAGGGGCTTCTTTGCCCTGGCCCTAGCCCACCTTTTGTCCTTTTTGCCCTAGCTCCAGCCTGTCTTTTGGCTCTCCTGCCCCAGCTGGCACTTGCTCACTCTAAGATACTCACCTTTCCTCCATCTGGGCACTTGGCAGGACACCGACTGACCTCTAAACCTTGTGTGTAGCCTGTGTCCTGCCTACCCCTTTGCCTCTCCCAGCCACCACCTGTCCTGCCTCCGTGTGTGCCTGGCTGCCCCCCTGCCACTTCATCCTTGCGTCCATGCCTGAGCCACCTGGGTCCAACCCTGCCTGCCCCCAATCCACCCATCACTGCAATCCTCGCCCTGACCCTGTTCTGGACCTCCTGCCCAAGTGCCTCCTCACTCACTGCATGTCTGGTCACCCATCCCTGCATCAGCTGTGCCTCTGAGATCTGCACAGGCTCCCCAGTAGGCAGAGTGCATACACCCTGTGTTGCGTGGACATCAACAATTCTCTCTCTCTCTCTCTTCCCATTCCTTTTCCATTTTCCTTCCTCCTTTTTTGTCTTTTCTAGCCCCCTTTAGTGGGGCAAATTTTCTTTTTTTTTTTTTTGTTTGTTTTTCATTATCAATAAACAGTTCTCAGATACAAGGTTGTCTCAGTTGACTTAATTTCATTCCAGACCATCTATTTTAAAAGAACTCCTCACAATTCCCCACAGTGGAATGTGACAGTCAGATCTAAGAAATCACATCTGTACAATCATCTATTCCATGTTTTCAAATACATACTTTTTTATTCCTTTTATTTCAACCAGTAAGACATTTACTTTTCCTAGGCTTGAAATCTGGGACCATCCAATTTGTATCATCTTTTTTTCCTTCATGTTCTTTGAGGATATTTTCAGGGTACAGTGGATACTATACCTAAAGGTCCTTTTTAAAAAGAGATCACATAATTAACCAAGTGAGTTAGAGGACTGTAAGAGCTTTTTCAAAGCTCTTACTGTACCTATGATAGGATGGCTGAGACAATTACATAAAACCAACCATGGGCTAACCTACATCTTCATGCTTTTTGCATGTGATGGGTACATTCCATAAGCAATGCCATATTCTACGTAGTTTAAGCTATCAAAATACTGATCTCATCTAAGATTGGCTCAAAAATGAGCAGTGGTATTATTGTTACCACCTTTTTACTAAGCACTACTGTCAATGCAGAACTTCGGTAATTTTTCATATTTCTGTGCAAATCATAGGACATGCAAGGGCAGACCCAAAGCAGTAACTGGTTTCAACAATTACATGAAATCTAAAGATTAAATATGAACTCACCTTTTATAAACAACTTTCAGGTATGACAAAGACTTATAGATTTTTAGAGTTTTGATTTTCTTTTCGTTCATTTTCCACAATCATGAAAAACATATATCTTCCTTAAAGAGATCTTGCTCAGTCTGTGACAAGACCTTTCACGGAGAGAAATCATAGACAAAATAGTTGCAAAACAAATACTCGCAAATCCAAAAGGGGATTTGTTAGATTACACATGATTATGTAATGTGTACCTAATTAAAACAATAAGAAATTATTTTTGCCTATTTGTAGATCTAAGATTCCCTTTTTTAAATTCGTTTCAAGCTCTATTAAAAACTGGGACCATTCAATAGTAATAGAAATGTCTACAAATTTATGTTCATTCCTTTCTTCTCTTTGATATTTATTTTGTTTTTTATTATTTTCTTTGTCTCAGTCAAGCTAGCAAGTCTACAGATAGAGGACTAACATAATAGTTTCTGAAGAAGAAATCTTTCCCCCCATACTCTTGCAAGGCAAAACTGAGTAGAGCCATATCTTACAAAACTTGTAGCAGACACTGATTTGAGGAAACATTTGAAAGTTCATCTTATTTTTGGCAAACTTAATGGAAAACAACTAGTAAATGCCAATATGCTAAGATTTTTAAAAACCACTCATATTTCACAGTGTCCTTTTGTTACAGTAGTTATTTAAATGGCATTAAAAAGATACTTTAATAGTAAATTCCCATAAAAATTCAGAGTCTACCCCCTAGGTAGTTTATATTATTAATGTAGGAAACGTTGCCCCATAACCCAATTTACTAGGTGGGTTGAATTAATTTGTTTCCAAATTAGTTTGTTTCTGAATTTAATTATCTTTCAGGCATTAACATTTTTCTGGTACCGAACTACTTCCTTATTATAGATACATGTAAAAGACCCACCCCCCCCATGATATTACAATATTTTATACTACCTTTTTACCTTTTCCAGAGTCTGTTCTGGTGCTCTGCAAATGTAAAAAAGAAAATGGTTATTTCTTGATAACTCTGGACCCATGCAGATTCTGCAGTTCCCCAAGTATCATTATTCTGACCTTTTTCACATTAAAAAGAGCACAAAAGGAAGTACATTTTCCAATACTTTCTTAATGTAGCCAGTCATTTCTCTCTGAGAAAATAGGGGTACATGGAAGGCAAATCATGAGTTCCTAGAGTCACCTAGACTACTAAGATATATTCAGATTTCTCACTAGGGTATGTGAGGCAAAATACACACATTCAGGAGCAGTCATTTTCAGAAATCCTTAAAATAAAAATGCATATATTAAAAAAAATTTAAAAAGAAAATTTTCAACAGAAATATATGTTTGGTAAACAGCCAGCAAATTTTAAAGCAGCTCACTCTTAGAATACTGATTGATTCTCTTACTTCTCTTGTGCTTCCTGCATCATTTTCACTGAATATAACTGTCAAGACACAACTAGCCAAATTTTGCTATTCAAACTATGAGTAAATAATATTTTAGCAATGACCAGGACACCCAAATTTATAATGTTAGAGCTGGTAGTATGAGAAAGCCACATAACTTGACTATCAGCTCATGAGAAAAAGAGTTGGAGATAAACTGCTAAAAAGTATTATGGGAATACAGTCTTGTGACTATGGAGTTTGTCAGTCAAAAAAGCACTGGGTATACTTGACTACAAGGTAGCAACATATGTGTATTTTAGGCACCTGAAAAAAACCCCATATTACTAAGCAATGACAGAGTCTCCATTCCTGTAGAGTCACATTGTAACTTAGTCAGTGTTTTCAGGACTGTCTTATAAATGACACTTCTTGCATATAGCTACTGTCCCCTGTGGGTCTCAGTTCTACAGCTCATGACAGCAGTGAAAATCAACCAGCAAAAATATTGGCAGGCATCTAAAGTCATGAAAACAACACATGAATTTAAAACTGGAGCTGTGGTGCACTGTTTAGCTTGGAAATCATTCCTGGCAGTCTGCAGTCAACAGAGGGTCTTTATCTGTTTAAAAGGTAAAAAAAAATCTAAATACCGATTTCCTGTGAACAACCAGTTTTTATTTTCTGACCAAAAAAAAAAAAAAAAAAAAAGGATGCCATACAAATTGTCAGATTCCTAATTGTGCAAGTTCTAAATATCCATTTAAATTATTCTGATGGTGTATGTATTTCATCAAGATTATGAGATATTCACCGTACCAAATTTGATAATTACAGTATCATTTTATCCAGAAGTTTTAATGGAATGTTGATTCTACAAATGACACATGATAGTGGCTTTTTCAGTATTTACAGAGGACCAAAAGAAACTTTTGAAGCCAGAATTGTGTGTTCAATCACACAATAGCAACTAGCAAATGTACTCAGGACAATATACATAAGTATGTACTTAAAACTGTAGTCACATGCCCTGGTAAGTGTACTCACACAAGCAACAGTCTTTGAGCTTGAAACATCAGAATGAAATGCCTAAAGGAATGCAGAGAAAAGAAGGATATTGCAGTGAGCATTTAAGAGGAAAACAAAATCTGAAAATTGTTAATATATAATTTGACTTGTGTTGTGGTTTAGGAATGGTATTCTCTAATTTAGTTTTCCCCCTAAAACCACACCACCACTCATTCTCCTCTCCCCTTCCAATTGGAGGCACAAAGCATAAAGGGCATAGTTTGAGATAAAAACAATTTACTGGAAACAGCAATGAGGTAAGAAAATTAGCAATAACAACAACAATATTACTAATTAAAGAAACAAAATAAAATAAAGAAACAATTTACACAGAAGGTCCACGACAATAATCAAATATTAGATGGCTTCCCCTAACATGTTTTCTTGACAAAAAAGAAGCCTTTCTCCCTGGAAGAGACAAGAGAATCCCTTTCCCCTGCCCCCAGCAATGATATGAAATGAAACAAAGTAATCTCCAGGTCCTAGCCATGCCCCCTCTTGGATAATGCAAAAAATTAGCCCTGTCTTGTCTGGAACCAGGACAACTTGCAACAGTCATTCTAGTAAGTGTATACACTTAATAGACAGGAGACAAATTCTTTTCTTTTAACTTTCAAAATTAAAGTTCAGATAGCACGAGTGGTGGCCTTTGCAGATATTCAGCTACCAATTCTTCAGTGAATCACCAGACCTGTACACTGCCATGTAGAAATAACTTCAGTACCTCCAAGACTTTGAAAACAGAAAAATCAAGGTAGGACAAGGTAGGCTTGAACTTTATTGACATGTAAAGTTTATCCAAAAAAGACCTCAAGGAAACAGATTCAGTGGTTTTATTACTGTATAATACCAGTCATGTAAAATGAGTTTTACTGAGTTTCTTTTGATAAATACTACAAACACTTTGTCTTTCAGAAATGGCACAGTGGCACAGACTGATACAGAGCCCAAGAAAGAAGATGAACATACAATTATATATGATTATCAATAGATTATCAACTGATTGTCAGCTCCCTGAAATTATTTCTTCATTGCACAGCCTCTTTTGGTAGAATTAGTCCTAAATTGTTGTCATTGTAAAATCAGAATTAGCTCTACAAAACAAAAAAAACCCAAACAAAATAAAAAACAATACAAAAGAAAACCTACTCTTCTGTTGCCTCAGCTCTCTTAACAGAGAACAGCAGGCACAATTTTCTAAGGATTTTTCCTGGGAAAAGCAGTGAGAAACCTCAGAGAAGAGAAAACAATTCTCTATTCAATGCTCCTGTTGTTTTGCACCTATGGAATGTGTTATGGTGACTGATTCCGCAAAGTGATTTGGTTATTGGACACTGGCAAAGATTGTTTTGTTTCCTTGGGCAATTGGGTCAAAGCTGTGTCCTGGCTGTCTCAGACAGTCACGGGTTTTTCTTTAGTATTCTTTTAGTATAGTCACAATATAGTATTAATGTAATATGGTATAGTTTTAATAAAGCAATTATTTGGCATTCTGAATCATGGAGTCAGATGCAAATCATTCCCTGTGTCAGGGGCTCCCTGCATTCAATACCCTTGAATTACAAGATTTAGAAAGTTTGATTTTTTTAGAAAACAAAAACTACTTATAAAGGCATGTGGTCTTTCTAACTAAGTCCCTTGAAAGCAAAGCATTCCTCTCCCTCATTCCACAAATTGACTTGCTAGTATTCTTCCACAACTGGCATGAAAATCCTCTTTGATTTGTGAAATCTTTGAGGACCTTCTAGTTCACCTCTTCTTCATCAACATCATCTAGAAAAGGAAGATGCTTCCCACCCTTAAGACATATATTTATATATTCAATTCAAAGAGAGTGAGAAGAGTGGCAAAAAGACTCTTCTTTGTCCCAAGTCACTATTATAATTCATCACACTTCCTAATTCATCCAAGTGAAGCTTTCCTCTTAACTTTCAAGAGTGAAAGATTTGGAAGATGGGAAGACAAAGGTAATGGTGACCTGTTAAATAAAGCTGACATTTCATTTTTGTCTCTAATTTCTCCTTCTCTCAGCTTTTCAATACATATATTATCTGAATGAGTTAAAATAAATCTATTAAAAGGAAAGTTTTCCTGTTCTGTTTAGAATCCTGGAAAACAGGAAAGCTATCTGTAGCACAACCTTTGATTTGTTAAATCTGCTGCTACCTCTGCTCCTTTTTCCCCAAGCAATTATGTTACATTCCATAAATTACAAGTAATTTTGTTGAAAAATATTTCACACAGATTAGTGAGATTCTAATAGGTTTGTCTCCTTTCCACCTACCCACAGGATTTGAGGGGCATCCATGGGCAGGAGAAGCAGTCAAAGAAATCACCTCAGTCAGCCATGCAAAGAGGCAGAGTAAAATACACCTACTTCTGTCACTCCAGTTCACAGCCAAGTGCCATAGCACAGCCACGTCTTTGGTAGGTTTAAACTGAAACCATGTTTTCATATATGCACTGTGGTGGAACTGTACGAAAAAGGTGCCTTCCCTAGCACTTGCCATCTCCTTGATCCCAGCCTGCGCAATCTAAAGACACAATTGCATAATGAAATAGATCAAAATTGAAATTTAACAGAGGAGAAGGACTGCTCCCTTTGCACTTTTATCCCAAATAATTTCCATGCAGTTTCCCTGGTTTCCAATAATCCAAATATGACTACTATGAGTAGTTTGAGAATGCCTTGACTGACTTCTCGAAATGGTTTCTGATTCAAAATGTATGAGTTTGAACACCTGTATATAGTGTGCAAAAATATGGAGTTAAATGAAGAAATTCAAAGTTAGACTTTAAAGTTAAAATAGCATCTATGAACTCTGAAATTTCATTATAATATTTTGGAAAAAATAGTATTGCATCATTTTGTAATATTTTCTTAGAGTAGTTGTATCCTGGTTCTTGGACTACTTTTCATGTCTTTCACACTGTGACATTAAAATATGTGAACATACTGTACACTAATATTGTCCTTAAACAAGGTTAGATGACCTTCAAAAATGAAATTAAATTGTTATCTTATTGCAAAGATGATCTCAACATTGGATGTGTTTCCTGCTGTTAGCTCAATTGGAATGTTCTTGGCTGAGAGTCAAGGTTGTTCTAATCCTGGAAAAGCTAACAATTATATTTTGAAATTCCTATTGTCTTCTCTGTTCTTATAAACTAAAAATCCAATCTCTTCAATGCTGTGAACTTTGCTAATTCTGTTTAAGTTTTATTGACTGCAATACTACTTCTGTGCATAATGATTAGAGGCGGTTTTGCCCGGGCACTGTATTGGGACACAAAAGACCCAAGTGTCTGCCAACACTTATCAAGGGCAGAGATGTGGTCTGAATGCATAACCTTTATTCCACTGGGGGCCTTCAAATGCTTCTGAAACATTGCCAAGGATATAAGAAATAATGTTTTCCATAATTTAGGGGCATTTGCATGTTGAAATGAATCAGTATTAATAAAAAATAACTACTCCACACATGAGAAGATATTAACTCTGGCATCACTGTCATTGTAAAGAAAGATCATGGGAGAAAGCACTTACATTTCTCCCTGGACCTTTCTCTTTTTTTTTTTCTGCTATTTTTTCCAAATTCCATATAGAAGCAAGGCAAAATCCTTAAATATTTTCCCAAAAGAGCTAGCCTACTGACCTTAGCATCCTCAATTGCATGAAAGTTTGGCAATTATTCTCTCAATCATTCATCATCCTTGTTTTCACTGCTAAATAAGTTTACTCTCAGCTTGTCCAGGAAGTCTTCTGTAGCACTGCATTCCCATTCTTTTTGAAGATACACTTTTGCTGAAAAAGTTGCCTGTTAAACACAGCACATTTTAAGAGAAGAGGGAAACAGTTTACAGGCCCTAGCAGGAGGATGAAAGATGATTTTAAATAGCAGATCACCTTCCTTTAGCATGCCATAATTGTGTCAACCACAGCAATCTTCTCTGTAGAGAGCCAGTAGTCCATTTTTCGGTACTGAAAAGTACAACTTTGTGAGTCCTAAAGCTCACTGGTGCAAGCTAAAGAAAGCGCCTTTGCTTTATTAATCAGTTTCTGATGTATTTTGATCACATGGCTGAGGAAATATTGAAGGAAAATAAAGGGTACCCTTTCCTATTTCTCTCTGAAAAGCACCATTTAATTTAGTAGACAGGAACTCCATTTGTTTGATTTCTTTATGATATCTTTCATTGAAAAATAAAATCCGATGGCTTCAGGTTACTTTTGTTACAACAAACAGATCTGTGGGAGGTTTATGCGGCTTCTTCACATTTGAAAATGTAAATTTAGCCCAGAGTTAGCAAGGGAATGCATGAAAAAATTTACGAGACTGATTGACATCAGCCCAAAATTCACCAGTGGAAAATCTAGGTGTATAGTTCAGAACTGTCAACCAGTAAAGGATTTCAGATTAATTAAAAGATGAAATGAAAGAAGAAAAATATTTTGATCACAAAAATTGTAGCAAATCTCTGTTCTGGTGGATTCAACTGGAAATTTATTTTGAAGAATCTAAACAGCAAGTGCCTCAAGTTCAAATTACTTGACATGAGGTAAAGGCTTTATTTTTATTTTAGCTTTGAAAAGAGAAAAGAGGATTTACATTCTTTAGAAGGCGAAGGTCAGTATAACTTTTTGGACAGATGTTGAGACTCTTGTTCTTTATTTATGTTGTATTTACATGAGTGCAGATTTGAAGAAAGGTCATTGATAGCCAGGTATTAGGACCTAAATTGTGGTGACCCTTTTTTTCAGAATTGTTCTATCAGATCTATTCCAAAATTAGAATAATTGTCATGATCCTACTATAGAGGACTTGACAAGACAAAGATTACCTTAAATCCTCCCATGTTTTATTAGATTATCTTAACTTCAGTATACCTAAAAATATGATACCTAGAATATACATCATACCTTTACCTCAATCAATTTTTTGTCTTTGGAAAGGCATAGGAGGAATACCAAGTGTATTAGTTTGAAAGCAAACCACTGGAAGGTTTCAT